ATCTGGAGAAGATCTGGCACCAGGACATAGTCAGTGTCCTGGCAACTTCCTCTGCTTCTCCCATGAGGACAAGAAGGGTCCCAGTCCTCCAGACTAGTGCTTGCAGTTGGCCCAGGGGAGCAGCAGATGTCCTCCCAGGACAGGGGCGTCTGTGGTGGAGAGGTAGAGGAAGATGAGACTTTGGGTCTGAGAGGGGTTTCCATGTCTTTCAGAGAATTTGGATGGGTAGCGTGATTTTTTATAAGGTGCCAGCAGCGGGCCAGTTCAGACTTAGGTGAGAAGGGACACTTGTCCTGCATGAGCTCAGAGACGTGGATTTTGCGCTTTGACCAGAAGAGCACGGAGAAGGGTCTGGAGGATCCAGACAGATGGTGATGATGATGATGGTGGTGAGAGCGAAGAGGCAAACACTGTCCTACAGCATCCTGAAACTTCTGTCGCAGAGAGCGGCGACTCAGGGCCTTACGACACACAACGTCCATGTCTGCAGATGTCAGTCCATCTCCTAGAGCGCTGCAGCTACACTTGCGCTCTCTCCGCCTCCTTGAACAGGATGTTGACCGTGGACCGGCTTCCTCCATCCCATCTGCCTCCAGCCCTCCAGGGCTCTGCTCACTGCTCCGAGAGCTGCGGGAGCGTTTCTTTCCCCTCCATATATAACTGTCTGCACTCCAACTGCGCAAGCCAGACTTAGGACGTGTGTCTGAGGTCCGCGGCTTCTTTTCAGACATGGCTGCTTCCTCCTCTTACTGTGTGAGATCAGATGTCAGCATTATAATCACATTATTGCTGTACCTCTCATTTTCAGAAACACACTTAGGAAATTACACTTAACACACTTATGTAAGTGGAAGGAGTCATCCACCCAAACAGCTTCAGATGCATTTAGCAGGTTTGGGTGGACCACCATTTAGAGTTATAAAGTAAGCATTATATGCCATTCACTTTAAAAGACTAGTTGGAGACATGCCCTTTGTCATCTGGAACCTTCTATTACAGCTGTTGGAACTCGCTTTACTTTATTTCTTATCAGATCAGGACTGAACAGTAAAAACACAGCCTGCAGATTCTGTGAAAGTTATAAAAAGTAGTTTATTATCTTCCAAGATGGCAGTATTTGAATATAGTTAAAGATGTTTACTTTGGTTTGGGAACTCCTTTAGCTTAGTGAGCTTGGAGTTTGCATTCTATGTAAACACAGATTACGTATAAAAATGAACCTAAGTGAACAGAAGGTGATGTTACGAGCTCATCAGTCTTTGTTCCAATCAACTATTAACAACAACTATTATGGAATAGACTGTCTTACCTTCCATACAAGGTCAAAAACACAGCATCACATCCATTTTAGAGCAGTTGTTTTACACACATCAGCAGAAATGTGTGACCCATGTAGCAGCAGTCTTCTGTCTGCTGCTACAGCTCCAGCAGACAGAAGACTGCTCTGCTTCCTATCTTCTATATAATATGCCAAGTCCCGAGGGGGCAGCAGTTTCCTCTTCGCCAGGGTTGGCTCTGAATGAATGGGGAGGAGGAGGAAGAGAAACTGGAGGAGGCGAAGGGAAGGAGGGGTTGGAAGGGGAGGAGGAGGGAGAGGGCACGTATGGGTGGGATGGAAGGGAAGGGTGGTCTCAGGTTGATGGCAGGGACATCCTCTTTTTCTCTCTCTAACACACATTTATTGATTTATTGTGTACCCCCCATCCTCCCCACACACCCTGAAACACACACACACACACACACACAAACACCACATTAAAAGGGAAGCGATACAAGATAAGCAGCAAGAAAGTGCTTATTCATTCAGAAAGTACTTTTTTTTCTGCATGCAGCATTTAAGTCGTTTAATTTCATCACAGTCATATACTTTACATTTAAGCATTAAAACTACTTATATGAGGAAACTTTACATAAATACAGTGTGTCAAATAAAATTAAAGAAAGTTAAAATAAAAAAAAATAAAATAAAGCTGAAGGCCTGGCCGTTTCTTTCAAACCTCTGCCACCTGCATTCACTGTGGGCATAGCTCTGAATGTAAGATTTAAGTTTATGAGTTTTTGGGGCAAAATGTCAAAGTTCTACACCATGTTTAAGCCCCCAAATAGAAAAAATCCCCAAAAACCCATTGATTGGATAACATCGTAAGTTTGTCGGTTTAAATCCCTGCTGCTGAATGGACTCTTCTGTCGTGGTGATGTCATGCCCTCTGTGTGCCATTCAGTCTGAGGGCACAGGCTGAGGAGGAGATTTTGTAAGATCTATAATTCATGAAGCAAATAGACAGAAATTATTACTCCCCTCTGCCTCTGTTTGTATGTGTGCCCTTTCAGCTCTAATAGATAAAAGATAGTCATCAATAAATGCCTGACATCTCAGATAATGTAGTGACACTCGACTTCCTCTTAACTGAATATTTAATGCTGTTCACATCATCAACACAGCTCAGCAGGATGATAATGCCATGTGTTATGGCAGACACCAGATCAATTTATCTGACTGCAAACTTAAAAAAAAAAAAAACTCAAACCCAAACTTGTAAGTGTCTCAACTGTAGCAGCAAGGACGTGACTCAAAGAAAGACAACCAAACGGACACCTACTGTACTGTCTGACAGTTAATCAGCTTAGTTAGTTCTGCCGGATCTTCCAGAAGTGATTTGAGTCTGATGAGGATCATTGGAAGCTGCACCAAGTAACCTGGTTACATCACAGAGGTCAGGAGTGTGACTAAGTGGAACTGCAGTAAACGTGTACAAGTTTATACAGAGTTTAGCGCAGGAAGTATGAGGGTGAAATTAACCTGCTGAAGCCGAACCTGGACCATTTCAGAAGCATCGATCCCTGCAGCAGCAGCAGCAGAGCCAACAGCAGCAGTTATGAATAATTGATGGTGCTGTGGATGAATGGAGACTCCCTCTGCCTGTATTTTTATACAAAGTCTATTTTTTGCAGTTAGATGATCGGCAAAGCACGAAAGACACTCCAACAATTACATTTAATTATTAAGTTACAATCCCCAAAGTGTTTGATTGCACAGCAGTGAATGCTTAAAGTGTCTAGTTGGCTCTCATTCCTCAGTTAAGTATCCAGTTCCTGTTCATTTTCACAGTTTAAAAACAGTTTGAAAACATTTTCTTGTACAGTAATTAAAACTAAAATAACACTGTGCCTTGGCACTGAACACCAACATGTTCAGTCTCCCTTGACTATGGAGATGTTTGTGATGTTTTTAATCAACAAAAAAACCTAAAGGATCATTATTTGATTTGCCACATCCTGGGTTGTGATAATAATAATACAAAGACTGTGACAGTCAGGCTGTTAAGAGGTCTATTGTGATGATGCGTGTCATTAAAGTCAGGTGACCGTATCACAAACATTAAGACACTTTAATCAATATTTACTGTATTGATCCCAGATCAAATGACTATACACAGAATGACTGTTGGTGACTGAAGTCATTGTATGTTCCGGAAACATACTTGTTCACACAGAAAGCCCAGAAGACTACTGAACAGATGTTCTTATGATGCGTCTGTAATTCAACTCTGATGTTCCAAATATTCTAAGCCCAAAAGTCCATGCATTTGTAGCTGTGTTTTACTTTTATCTGTGTCTTTGAGTTAAAGAAATCTTGCAGGAAAAAAGGCCAACAGACAGAAATACAATCTAAATTTATCCTGAATGAAGAGGGTAGCAGTGGACTGAAAACTTTCAGGAAATTGGGTCACGGATCCAAACTTCTATTTGTAAGACACTGGCAACTGCACCGGATATGAGGGAACCAACTGCATTAAAATGCAAGACTTTATTTATTAATGACAGCATTACTTAATAATCCTTCAGTGTAGCTTCTCCTTCTTGTCTCTGTGTGTGTGTAAGTCTGTGCACTTTCACGAGTGCTGAGAGGCAGTACGATCATGTGAGCTACAGAGATGGTAAATTGAATCAGCAGTGAGTCTCTGGCTCCACCGGTCTCACTAGTTTCCATTGATCTGTATCAGAAGACAAATCTGACCAATGGCGGCTGTGCAGCCTCTCTCTACATCCATCTGCTCTCATTACTTCTCACTTAATCCACATCTTTTTATGGTGCCCGCAGCAGCCGGAGCTGTCAGTGGTCGCTCACACTGGGAAAAGTTTGTCCTTTTTCTTTAATAATGCATACCATTGTCTGTCATCTGTCTCTAGGGGTGGTTTATTTGTGGTACTCCAGTTTTTATTCACACACAAAGTCACTTATTTCTGTGTAGCGTAGTCACAGCAGTTACGGCTGGAGATCTTCATCTGCTGCGGACACACGAGCTTCTGTATCCTCTTTCCTCAGGGGAGATTTATTTATGCCTGCAGCCGCCCTGCTTCCCGCAAGCAAGGTGGATTCAGAGAGGCTTCTAATCTTCATCATATTAGAAGGAGTAACTCAAGCCCAGTGGGCCACCAGACGCACACACTCACATACTGTACATACATATGTTTATGAACATTTTTCCACACGTGCATCCCTGTATGAATGCATGGGGGGGGGGGGTTGGGTTTCTTTTTTTGTATGTGTACTGTGTTTTTTGTGCTGAAAGCCACGGTTTTAAATTTCACCTTTTATAAACGACCGTGGTATTTCTTCACTGTACAGAGAGGTGTAATCATATCGCAGCAGTATGTATAGCAGAAATTGAGATAAAGTCAATATTATAAGGAAGACAACTACAGTTTTTGACCTAAAAAAACACAAACTGCAGCAATAAAGAGAACCCTCAGACTATACGTATGTGAAGAGCATTTTAATTCACTTTGACGATCATCGCTGTGTGGTCATGAGATGTAAGCGACTGCCCAGTTGAAGTGTGTACTTACATGTATGCGTGTGTGTGGAGGTCATCATTGCCTTTAATCAATTTCGACCTGTCAAGTGAGGTACCAGTGTTTGGTGGTGATCGTTAAGAGGAAGTGTTATTTCCTGGTCCTCTTCCCTTCCCTGGGTTCAGAGATCAAAAGTCCAGCTTCACTAAAAAACATTAGTGGTGGCAGGTCAGGATGTGATGCTGCTCTGATTGAGTTGATGGTGCTTGTGATGTAATTTCTATTTATAATGGGTTTTTTAAACCGTTTTTTGATTAATTGACAAGAAATGTGCTTTAAAATAATGCTAAAATTAAAAACAAAGATCCTGACAGTTAAAATTGTAAAAACAAAAAACCCTCACATTTGCACTTGTTTTGTCACTGAATAGCAACTCTTCAGTGTACAACAAATAAATTTTTTTATTTTTTATTTCACCTGATATATTTCCTTTCGGTTAATACACAAGATATTCAGATATATTTCCAGATTTTTTAGTTATATTTCTCCTAAATATCATGTATTGATGCTGCTTCTGGTTTATCATTGTTGTTGTTGTTGTTACTATTGTGTGCTTTTGCAGCCTTCAAATTTATGTGCAAAGTTATTTCAGGTCTGATTGAAACCAGAAATGGCAGCAGCAGCAGTTTGGTCTCTGGGCAGGTTATTACACAGTGACAGACACCAGTGAACCCCGACAACCTGTCCGTCTCTTTGCATCTTATCGTCCAGCTCACATCCTGACCTCTAATGCAGGGACAAGAGCACGAGTCAGAGAGATCATTTAACAAAAAGAAGGCATTTTGTTGTGTAAACATTTGCAAACTGCAACAAAAATCAATAACACAGAGGATAAATTCCAGTAACCCTGCAGCTGTGCACGCAGCTTGTCTTACAGCGGAAGCACCGGAACGAGTGGAAAAAACACATTAGCATCCAGAGCCATTAAACACGGAACAGTCTGAATTCACCATTATGTTTAACTTGTTATAGTTCATGCAGATATTTAGTGTCAATAATACAATAACATTATGGCTGTTTATATCTTCAAGGGTGTTCTGCGACATTTGTTATTTAATTTTAATCCCCACTGAACTATTACAATATTACAATATAACATAGACACAAAAAAAGATTATTTCAATGATGATATTCTGGTACATGAACGCACGAAGTATTCCTGAAATGTCAACCATTGTTGATAAACCCGTCATTACGTAGCTCCTCTTTCTCCCCTGGATGCTACGTTACACTAAACTTTAAGAAGAGATTTTTTTTTACCTGGAAATTAAATGTTGCAACTTTTCAACTACATTTTTTTTTTCAATAATGCAAAGTGCCCATATGACATATATGACCGCATTGAATTGAAATATTATCATCACTGGTAAAAAGGGAAGAAATGATACTTTTGCATTTAACAACATTGTGCCACAGACATTTCCTGTTCTAAATGTTCAGTATCACAGTTGTGATTTGTGAACTAAGTGGAAGGATGTGGCTGCAGAATTCTGTGGCTTTTGGGTTGCATAAGATGACAGAGATGATTAACCCTTAGATGCACAAGATGGGTCAAAAATGACCCGACTCTGATTTCATTTTCAATGGCTTTATAATAAACCAATGTCATCATTCAGTATTCCAGGTAGTCCTCAATAAACTTGTTTTTGATCATGATACACGATTATTCTATTTGTTTTCTGTTTACACTTTTTGAATAATCATCATCACTAGAGGTCACCTTCGACTCTGTGCCTTTACCATTGACAGTGTCTTTACCATTATGGAAGTGTCTTAGAACCCTGTTTTCAAAAATACCTCTGATGACATAGAGGACTAATCTCTAATAAGTCCTTTGAAGAGAACTCAGACCGAGTCACTGACAGAGAAAATCTGACCATTGTAGGGACTGTTCTCCAGAGCAGCTATTCCACCTATCACGAAGTCGTCCAAGTCACAGGCAATTCGTAGCTCTGAATTCTGAATTGATGGCATCATAACCATGTCCAAAAGAAGTCTGTTGTCCTCCTGAGTACCACGCATGAAGACAAGGCATTGGATCATAGTCGGAGAGAGAAACCAGAAGTGATTCAGCAGATTGTTTGACCACAGATTAAGTCGTCATATGAAGCAAAATACCACTTTGATAAATTGGTCATTTTTGACTTGTGTGTGTGTAAACAAATACAAAAGAAGATAAAAATAATGGCCTGTACCAATTAAATAAAAAGTTAATTAAAGAATACTTAGAATGTTCAATGTTAGAAGACATAGATTTTATAAGATACATAAAAAAATACCCACTCAGCATGAAATCACATGCAAAATCATTGTAGGTCATTTTTGTGCATTAGAAGGGCTGTGAATATCCTGTACATCAAAGGGTTAATAGCATTGCTGCTGTGCCATGTGATGGCTTGCTTTGCTTCTAGCAAAATGACATAAAGGGGTTTTCTGTAGAGACATTTTGTTGTTTCTATAAGTGAACACGTTCTTTTTAAAAAAAGGAAACTGTTTTATTACTGTTACTAATTTTGACCCACCCTCAGTATTCAGCACAGCAGTGCCTTCAACAGAGCTGGTATCTGCTCCCACACAATCTGCTGAGCTTGGATTCTAAACACTTGGTGGAATTTGATATGTGTTCAAATCTGCTGTCAAACATTTTAATCTGATACTCTTTTGTTTGTTAAAGAGAGAGAGGCCTACAGGCTGCACTTATGACATATTTATGTTCTGTTCAGCCTTTCTGTTTACAGTCCTATTACTACCTGGGTAATAACGTGACTCATTGTTATGATATGAAGGCTGACTTGTAGAAAATTGTGTCTGCATATAAAAACCAAGAAAGCAAATATTGATCACATCCTTATTATCATACAAAGAGTACATCCGCAGAGTAACACTTCTCATGAATTATTCATCACATTATTTCCCTTGCATTGGGGGTTTTCACTGATTGTATGGCAGATGGTGGATCTTTTTTGCAATAATATTCCAAGCTTCATCATACGCATACACAATGACCAAATCACACACCACACGAATGGTGATGGACACATAAAGACATAAGAACCTGGACTTTAACATGTCATTAAAAGGGAATATTTACAGATAATATTAACAAAGAAACTTTTTGAAATGTTTAACATTGTAAACCACAGGAAGTGTGCAGGTCAATATCACACGCATTACCATCTTTGTCTTTTCATTAAATAATTTTCTTAATGTCTCTGCTCAGAAAACCTCAATAATAAAACTTGTTTTACAAGTTACAACATAAGTAACCTAACAAAATTAAATTCTGCTCTGTTTTTTTCTTTTCTTCAAATGTTTGTTATCATAGACATTGCATCAATTATTCTTTTTTTATTCTTTACATTGCATCAATTATTCTTTGCAGAAAGTGCGTTTGGTGGAACCGGACAGTAGGTGGAAGCATTGGGACGTGACAGATGGGACGACACCGATTGAATTAACGTACAGTAATAAAATGTGGCCTTTTTGTGACCAATAACCGACATTTGATCCAACTAGTAACAATATTCTGAAGACCTATTCCAAAATAATGTGATTTAGTCAAACTGTGACCATTGTATTATTTTTTTCTTAATGTCCTACATTATACAGTATGTCCCACGAGATTTTTTTTAAGTGACAACATATTTTTCTTAAAAGAAGACTTTAAAAAACAGTTTATTGACCTGTTAGATCATTTCTCACGGAGTAAGGGGTCAAAGACATTTGTCTTTCGTTTTAAACTCCAACATGTCAAATTAACTGTGTAGCGGTTTATTTTAGCTAAAGAAACTAGGGTAAACATACATGTTTCAAAATACACTTTTGTCCAGTCCTGGTGCATGATGTGTCAAAGAAAAAGGTAACATTTGAAAAATATATGAGGCTGCAGTACTGTGTGGGAATACTTTACCTTTCCTGCCTCCAGCCACAGGGAAACCAAACAGAACTCCTACTCACAGCCATTCTCTTCAGCCACTTTCATCTTGCAGCATAATCACAAACTCTGAAGGGAATGAAAATGGATATATATTCATTTTGCAAATGACACAGTGATCAAATTAATTCTGCAGCTTGCAATTTAATTCTCAAAGCCTTTATATTCCTGTTAAAAATACATGTAATATAAAATGTTTTAATAGAAAAAGAAGGTGACTGCTTTAAACCATTTATACTGTCTCTCTGCAACAAATGTCTGAACCATGAAACCAAAATTACTAAAGTAAACTTGTTCATCCAAGTCACTGGTGATGAAAATGTAGTGGCCACCAAACAATCTTTCCTAGGGTAAAAAAAAAACAAAATTCAAACAACAGTATCATCAAGACATCTCGTATTGTTGATTGGCTGCTGAGTATGATTCTGACATATCTTTGACCCTTATTTTACAACTCTTTCTGTGGAACGTGTTTTGACTGAGCAGTACAGTACAAAACAAGGACCACTGCATTACAACTTTAAATACAGCACCCCCTGCTGGTGAAAAAGGGGACTCGAGAAAACGGCACATGACAATTGTTATAAGGATAAAGGTGTGTATAGGGTACTTTCTAGAACATTTTAAGGTCCTGTTACACTTGTGTTGCTAAAGTATGTTCAAGTGGGATCAAATAGGTTCAAGCTCTATAAATAAAACGTACTGTATTATTTAAATATGAGTAATATTTACGGCACATAAAAGTAATCATGTTGTATGTTCTAATGTTGTATCTGTAACAAATGGCAGAACGTGATAACAGCACCGGGGTAATATCAATCAGGTAATTTAAATTAATTCAAGAAAGTGTTTGTGTGCTTGCGTGTGTGCGCGCGCCTGTAAGAAAGAGAGCGAGAGAGCGACAGACCTTGCTTTTTCCAAGATGGCGGCACAGCGAACAGCCGGCTCGGTTCGCTGACTGACAGGAGAAGCCTTGGTGGTTTGGACAGCTAACGGTTTGAACACGAGAGTAGAAAGAAAATACAACCAAAACACTCGCACCGCTTTCTCCAGCCTCTCAGTCCCCGTCGGCGCCGTAATGAATCATCACCGTTAAACGCCAGCGGCTGAAGTTTTGAGGACGAAATTGACGTTCAGGAGCTGGTGAGTATAATATGATGAGCCCTTATAATGTGACTGACTAACGGGGTTGATTCAGAGACCGGTTGCTTGCTGTTTGTTCTGACTAGAGCTCAATATATTTAAATATACCTCCTTGTTCTACGTTAGTTTGTGTTTATCATTAATTAATTTATTAATTTATTTATTTTACCAATGACAGTTCTGACCCGACCATGTTAAACCTGAGCGCTCACATGCGTGACCTCCTTACTAGCTGTTTACGTGCCACAGGTTGTTTGCAGTAAATTAATGAATATTTCAGTTAGCAGTGTCAGCCAGACACTGGTCAGTTACAATGCATTACACCTCAGATCGTCCACCGATCCCCGCTCTGCACGTTAACGTGCGACCATTCTGGGCTAAAAATAATCCAAAACGGTGCCCTCTGCGTTCACATCCCCTGCGCCTATGGATATTTTAGGTTGCTGCGTTTGTGCTCGCAAAATGTCAATGACCTTAACTCTTATTTCAGGTAGCGACAATCGAATTGCGAAGAGGTAGATGGTAAATTTCAGTTATATATAGAGTTTTAGTATTTGATTATTTAAAAAATAAATTGCAGTTGTGTGATTATTTTACTTCGGTTTTTAATGTTTGTAAACATAGTGCATGTTGTTACCCTAGCCTTCCGAAGGTGGTGCTATTAACGGATTGCAAAGCCTTGATTTTATTTAATAATCGGTAAACCTCCGGGAGAGATTTTTACTTGTAAATGTTAACTAAAACAGGTTGTCACACATTGTCATATGTTCTGAAAAGACTGTCAAATTTTCATTCAACTCTACTGCTTGTACGTCATGGAAAGTACTGAAGTCCATTTACCAGGCTAAATGTAGTCTAATTTTAACCATATATCAATTTAACTGTGCTGTATATGTACTGTCAGACATTAAGTACCCTTTGGTCAAAAATGGACTGCCAAAGCAGGCAGGATCATGCCCTACAAAAACGTAAACAATGTGATTTGAACTGTAGAAGGTTGTATTTTAGGCAAAGGTAGCACTAACAGCTGAAACAGGAGACATTCTGAAGGTTTCCCTTCCCTTAAATTTCCCCTGCATGCATCACTGAGTGATGTCTCACTAGAACGGGCAAGTCTTGTCAAATCCTCACTGTGACAAAATACTCCAAAGCATGTCATTTGAAAACTACAACTCACATACCAGGATGATAACAAACACCATTCTGCTATATAAAGTTTTTCCAGACTCTAACTACAGTTGACATTTTTTGCACATGTACCATATTGTGTGAATGATGGATAGTGTGATTGTGTGTTTTCTCTTTTTTCATGCCTGTTCTTGTTCAGAGGACACAAGGGCGCCTGATAGGATAAAAATGAATGAATGGGGAAGACGTTCATATTCAGGTACATGTCTGGTACATGTTAGCAATTTTATGGTCAGGCTGCTTAGCAAGCTTGACTTGGCTGCACAATTTTGTGCTTGCCAAGGTCAAAGATGAGGTTTTAACACCAGTCAGTTAAAGATCAAAGAAACTCACAGCTAGACAGTGGCAGCTCTGCTGATTGAAGACTCCAGGTTCAGTATTTCTGGATTCCCAGACATTTCCTTCAGGGTAAGCGCCTGTTTTCCACTAACTCATAGCAAATATATCCTCTGTGGCAGAGGGGATGGTTATAATACAAGACATCTAAGGTGTACTTTGTGACATTGAATAATTCAATGAACACAAACATACCTAAATTACTTTTACCATTTCAAACTGTCAGAAAATCAGTCCCCTTTTTCTTTGTGTTAAACAAAGAATTTCATTTTTGAATGATATGTCATTGTGTGTCATAACACAATACCACTATGTCTCAAGTGAAGAATGTATAAAGGTTGTCCATTTGACAGTCAGTGGATTTTAGCTTTGTTATTGGTAATTGTTAATGTTAATGTCTGCATTTTGTGCCAGAAACTGCAGATTATCCAAGAGATTTACTGTGGTCAGTCTTATAATTGAGTTTGCTTGTGTCCACAGAAAATGTTAGTCAGGTAATTACTTACTTGGAACGATTTTGCCGTGAAGGGATAGATTCCAGGGGGAAGCTGAGGTGTATCTGTACAAATGCACAGATTGGAGTCTGTACCTGTTATTATTATGAGTAAGATTGTCTTCAAGGTTGAGTTAGTAATAATGTCAGACCTATATATATATATATATATATAGGGTTCTATCACCAATTCCCAGTAGTAAGTGCTCACTGCTTTCATTTAAAAGAATTTAAGAGACGATGACTATCCAGATAGACCAATGCGTATATAGTTGGTAGGGGTGATTTTGATTGATTTTAAATGTAGTTCCCTCTGTTCCAATTTCAGTAACTTCATGTTAAGCATGTAACAACAGTGGGTTTGCTATGCTGACAGTTTTTCTGCAATTAAACTGTAAAAAACCTCAATGTATTGTTGTGCCTGTAGTATTGCAGTATATTGCAATACATATCGTATCCTTGCCCCTTACCCTGCATCTTGATGTGTATCGTATTGCCAGATTCTTGCCAATACAAACACATAACTGTTAGCATTGTTAATTAACATTTCTTGTTCTCTTTTCAATAAATGAGTCAAAACATCACCTCTAAGCCACGATCAAGGCCTGTTGGTTAATTGGCCATTATCCAACATAACATTCCTTAAAGCTATAATAGCCAGTTAGCTTTTTGCCTCAAAAAACAAAACAAAACTTGTCGCAACTATAGGAATATCAAACACTGATTTTCTGCCTCTCTGATGGACTGCAATGATCATAGCTTCAGTACACATTGTTTGTTATGCTTTTAAGTTTTATCTTGGTCATAACGACACACTTTCTATTATAATTATTTTAGCAGTAGCTTTATAACAGAAAAAACAAAAACCTAGAGTAGTTGTTACAATATAGTATTTGGGTCTAATAGTACAGTGCTGAACATAACTGCAGGATCTGCACTGTTCTCTGACCTCCTTTTTCTCACTGCAGTTAAAATGTATCTCTCTCAAAAACTGTGCCCTATAACTAGTAATACACAGTAGCTTGTCATGTTTTTAAAGTTTAGATATGTGTGTATTCTTTCAATATATGCATATATACAAACAATTTAATGTAATTTATTCATAAATAATAGCCATATGAGTGTGAGTCATGTGAAAGTAACTAAGGATTTTTCTCTATGTAAGTCCAAACACTTCTGCAAGAAAAGAGAATAGATATTTTGAAGAATACAGGGGGCATCTCACCACCACCTGTTTTTATCTAGTCTAAGAATTAAAGTTGAGGTTCTTTTTAATATTCTTTCAGTTTTAAGAAAGCCAAAAAAAGTCAACTAATTTCAAATACCGGATAATTAGAGAAAAATAGTTTTACATCTATCTGACATTCCCTTGCAGAACCAGTAAAAAGGATAACCTGCAGTGGTTTTCAAAGGAAAACAACGTTATTGGTTCTTAGAGGGAAAAAACTATACACAAGCACTAATCAGCTGTAATCGCAGGGTATTTTCTGTGGTGAGAGAAGAGATGTACTCTCAGATAGTGGGTGGCATCAATTGCTGGAAAGATGAAGGATTCTGAGCTCATCACCTAAGCAGGGTGGGAATTTATTTTCAATAGACATTTACATTTTTAAACATTCTTCTAAGCCAAACCAAACAATTGAACACATAAACCACAGCAATGAACTCTGTAATGTGGTGACTGGATGCTGGTGATATTTATTGTAGGCACGGTGATTATTTGAATGGTGGTTAGATTCAGTCAAAAAATAGAGAGAAAAAAAACTCCCAATCTTTTGAAGTTCCCATCATTGTTTTTATTTGTCTTTCACCATATCAGCCTTTGCTCTGGAATGATTTCACTAATAAACCAGACCTATGTAAGAGAACAAAGTAAATTATTACAACACAGTCTGTTGTTTGTTTAAACCCCTCAAACACACATCTCAAATATATAAAAACATCAAACCAAACACTAAATCAATAAACGGTTGGCACGTTAAACACTAAAGTCCACTAAAACATGGCTTAGACATAGCAGTAGGACCAAAGTCATTTTGGTCACTGCACAGCATAAATGCTGTGTTTAAATCTTTCATGTCAATTGCCCAAAACTTGTAGAGTGCAGTCGGTTGTGCCATTTATGGCCAATAGATGGTGAGATTCTGCAGAAAATAAAATAAGAAAATAAAAACAGCTAATTTGGTCAAGATGCACAAGAGACAACATTTAAACCTGTGATATTTTGTTGATCAGTGATGAAACTTTAAATTTTATTGAACATAAAAACTGACAAAAATATAAATATTATTGTAACCTGTTGGAGCATGTCTAGTTATTTTTTGTGTTATTGCCAACATTGTTCATGAAATGACTGTTCCGTGTTCTTCTTTGCAAAGTCAGTGGGTGGCCTAGATTTTGCTGTGTTTGGTTGAGTTGTTCCCTGAGCAGTCGGGTAGTTTTGATGTGTGCTGTGGCCAACAACAGCCTCTATTGAATCTCGTTGTTGGTTTGGACACCTGTGACCATCATGACTCCATCTCATCTCACATCAGCACTGACTATTCAGTGTTCACAGCAGCACAAGTTTTGATTCATAGCTAAATGGCAAATACACATTTTGTTTTGGAAGGGGTTGGGAAAACTGTTAATTTTGATTGGATACAAATTTAAGCAGACTTGCTGAGCAACCAGTTCATGTTTTTCAAATGTTTTCAAATGTTTGTTTTATTCAAACAACAAGCTACAGGCAGCTTGCAAGTGACGCATAGAGACCCCTGGTGTATGTGATCACTCTCTCCAAACTGTACACTACCACCCTTAAGAACACTTTTCTGCTAACCAGGGAATTAAAAGAACAGGTCTGTGTCATCAAGTTTCTTGGAGACAGTGTTTCTTCCCATAGGCCTCTCTGTCACTACACCCCAGTGCTAATACTGTACACAGATACAATCTGGAGGCTACACAAAATAAACTATAAACTCCCTTTAGTACATACATTATAATTTTGTCTGTGTAATCTCTGAAACTCTTTGTCAGAAAAGCACTGGTTATTATTTACTTTCGTGGATTACCGTTTTCTACCTCTTTTCTCTTGTCTTGTGAGATCAAGCTAAGTGTGAAGCTTTGCCAATGGCACCCCGGTGTTAACCCCACCTTCATCTGCTTGTGACGCACAGGTACTTATCTGAAAAAAATCTATCTAGAGAAAATTCACAACGTTGTGAAGAGGTGCTTCCAATCGTCACTGTTCTCTGTAGGTGGGCTAGGCAAAGCTTCTGCTGCGTATGCCCCAACTTGCTTGCTCTTCAAAGTTCTTGGCAGGTCAGCATTTCAACTTACTTTACTGCCACCTAATGCTAAAATATATTTTTTTTCTAACCATCATCTAATATCTACAACTGTTTGGTTTCGCTTTTCTTTGAATAATAATTTCTTTTTGTACGATTTTCTTTTGTTTTGTGCTTCATCAACATTAAGTAGTGGCATTCCTTATAGTTTCGTTGATTGATGAAACAGTGTTAAATGTCAGGTAAAGAGACACATGTCCACATGTGGAGAAAAAAAACAAAACAAAAACTCTCACCTTGATCGTATTTCCTCCCAAAATGTTACATGACCTTATGCAGTGTGAGGTTTTGAAGGCAAACACCCACCCCTCTGGGCTAACTAGAAGCAGATGCTTGGCTTGTGAGGCTTCTTACTGGCTTGTGTTTATGTTCTTATGCACATTCCTTTTCACCTCCTCCACGTGTCTGCCCTGCTGTGGCAATCTCTGTGCAGGATGTCTATACAGCTGGGCTCAAGAGCAGTGACTTGGCTGCTTGAAGCCTTAAAATAAGATTCCCTTTGGTGAGTTTTACTGGTCCCTGTTTTCATGAACTCCACAGCTGGAATTCGCACCCCTGTCCTTTTCCACCCATGGAGAAGCGACTTGAGGTCTGGTTGGGTCTGGACATCTTATCGAACTCCTCCCTGAAGTCTTGCTGTGGTCATAAGTCATTGGGTTTAGGCTGGGAAGCATTGTCTATGGCTCTGGCACCAGGCCCTCCATGTGGTTGAGTTTAAAGTTTCTGCGTCTGTTGTGCTTTTCCTTCAAGTCTACTCCTCTTGATTCTCCGGCGCCTACGCTGTTTTATATCCTGTGTGATTAGTAAAGAAAGTCTGACTAGCACATATAATCTGCACATTCTTGTAGTTCCCAGCATAAAGTATTTTTTTAAAGATAGCCACATCATTTGGGATATTTGTTAACAATCTTGAGAAGATCTTTTATTTTACAAAGACATTGTGCAGAGTCCTGGAGAAAGCTGGCATTTAAAGGCTGTGCAGTGAGTGACCTCGTAACATGCATAATTTCAAAACACAATACTATAGTGCTTAGATTCAAATTCTGAACTTGTCTGCCTTTACAATTTCACAGCCTTTTGTATCAAGAGGAATCAGCTGTGACTTCAGTCTGGGCGTTTACTTGAAGATGAAGTCAAGCTTTTCTTTCAAGATTGTCCTGCAAGTGGAATAGTAGGGCAGCCAGGGAATTTGATTATTTGGAATAGACCAGTTATGTGATTATTTATTTAGGTTCTCAATCATGGTTCAAGCACAATACCACTGAGTGCTATCATGAGAAAATCTATTATGGAGCTCTTTATTAAACAAAATAGTCACACATTTTAGTATCCTGAGTTTAGGTTTCTTTTAATTGAAAGCTAATGGCTTTGGTTGTTAGGTACACAGGCCACAGTAAAACACAAAAGGTACTCAGCTGGTTTTACAAGTTAGTTTGATTTTAATGTTCCATGTCTTTACTCACTTGTCCATGAATAAAGAACACTAACAAAACTTTTATTAGTGAAAGTATTCGCACTTCACTTCCTGAAACAGGTTTATATTTTTTAAATACTATGAAAACAAAAAATAAAACTATTAAAAATAACAACTAAAGCTTAGTACTTCTACTCTGTTCTGTCTTGGAGCTGAAATTATATTAGTTTAGAGAGCACAGTGTTAAAGACAACACTTTCAGTTCTGGTTTTGCAAGAGCTTGTGTGTAGTTCACTTGTTCTCTTCATGTCAGAGTGGGTTTCTGTGGGTACTCTGGCTTCCTCCCACAGCCATAGTAAATGCATATTGGGTTTATGTTCATTTAAGACTTTAATTTAATCATAAATCTGGATGTCAATGCTTCTTCAGTTCAGTACGGTTGTCCTCCGTCCCTTTCCACTGACATTTGTTTGTACGCGTAATCCAAGTAATTCCTGCTTCTGATATAGGCAGACCTGGATAATGAAAGCTGACAGAAAAAACACAAACTTTAGGATGTTTACATTTGTACTTTGCTTTTATTTATTCCAAGCTTTCTAGTAAACTTTATATTTTTTCAGTTTTTAGCCCACCTGAAAATAGTCACCGAGAGGCTGAGCACAATCTATTTAGAAATCATGATCTAGTTGCATTTTTTACAAGCTCTACTACTCGACTGAGTAGCCAGATGTCCATTTCTGCCTCTTCATTTGCTCCTTTGCATAATTTAGCAATTTGTTAAAAACTGTTTTCAGTCACTTGATTTCCCAGAGGGGTGCGCCTAGTTTGTAGGGTATGGTCTTAGGGTGTGGGCTTCTTGCTTGGTGAGGAAAAACAAAAGCTCTACAACATTTTACTTTCATATTGGCGACTTTATTATGGTAATGTTTTTCCTTGTTAGTAGCTGTTCTTGTAATATATAAAATAACTGCTTTATACATAATTTCTATAGCTTTTTCTTATATAAAAGTGAACACATCAAAAATCAAATCCTGTCATCTGGGTGATAACTTCAGTGTGTTGTAATGTGTGTGTCCACAGACATTTAAATGCCTGCTCTGTGTTGCACAAGAAGCTGGACAGAGAGTGTGGTCTTGGACTCAGGATAATGTGCAGATGTGAAGCCCTCTGAGCTGAAGGGTCACTCATTGTTTGATCACTTGTTGTGCAAGTGTTGGCCAAATTCAGAATAAATGAAAAATAAGGGATTGGACGTGTAAGTGTCACTAACAAGGGATTAATTCTCAGCTCAGTGCGTACCAAACAAGGGATTAATTCTCAGCTCAGTGCAGTGTGACTTTATTCCCATCAGTTTTTCACAGTGAGGAAGTGAGGGTTTGGATTGAAATCCACTGGTGAGATAAGTGTTGCTATAAGTATTAGAACATGGTGTACTAGCAACTTTCCCACCATCTGTCAGCACCTACACGTGACAAGTAAAATAAAAAAAAAAAGTACATTAAATAGAGTCACTGTAAGGTATGGAATATTCATGAATCTGACATATAGCCTGCTTTCCTACACAATCCTACATTATATGTTTACAAAGATAGATATTGTCTGTTTAGAGGCACAGTATATCCAACCTGTATTCAGCTCAACTGATTGTATTCCTATGTCCAAATTCACCTTGCTGGTTAAAAACAAATGTGTTTTTCTGGAGCCACATTTTGTCCAGTGGCTTCACGATCAAAGTATATTACCATTAAAAGGAAATTAAAAAGGAAGTACAGATCAAATACTTTTTTAAAGCCCCAAGCCGCAAAAGTTTTCAATTAGCATTGGATTTAATCACAACTTGGAATAGTTCCTCACTTATATCATCATTCCAAAAATCATTTAATGGTTTGGTCACAGAATAAGACCTGTTTATCATGACCCAGCAAATATTGAATTGCTCAAGTATTATGGTTAAAATACCAATGAACTTCAAAATTCAAAATTCTTCTGGATAAAAGGGCAACAGAAATGTAGGAACTTTCCTACACTAAACATTTTGGCTAGTTTTCATGAACTCTGACCATATACAGACGCTTTCCCTCTCTTCCCTGCAGTTGGTGTTCTACTTGCATTTGGAATATAACCCTATAGGTTCATATTATATTAGAAAATCAAGCTTCCCTAAAAAAAAGTCTACTTAAAACAAAATTGTTATTGACAATCTCTTTTGTTTTTTTGCAAAACTGCTTTTGCCTGGTCTTCATCAGAAAGTAGAGACTCTACAGGCCGGCAATGCCCTTCTTAAATGAGCGTAGTTTGAGTGAACTACTTCAATCATAGTGATTATCAGTCTGCGTGTTTCTCAGAAGGTTTCTAAACAGAACGATTTGATTAGTGCAGACCTGTGTGAGCAGCATATAAATGTGGAAAAATGTCCGTAAATGGCGCCCTGCTCCAATTATAGCTTGTGTCCTCTTCACATTTCACCTAACACTGCTCTGCCCTGTGATTGACATTCCCTCATAAAGATTTTTAACTGTCTATATTTCTGTCTTGCTTCATTAGCATGCCCACCACCCACAGAAAGTCTTAACTGCTACAAAAATGAAAAAAAAAAAACAATTTTAAATGTCTCTCTTTCTCCCTCTCTCTGTCTCTTCCCCCCTTGTCCCTCTTTATGTCTGTACAGGCAGTCTGCGGGGATGGAAAATGATGGAGGACAAAGGCCCTCGTGTCGCCGACTACTTTGTGGTGGCTGGTCTCACAGATCCATCCAAGCCATTGGACCAGGAGATCCATTTTGATGATGTCTGCCATAAGACGGCCAGGCCCAAAGCCCCTATCACCGATGTAGCTTTGGTGATCCGCTCCTTGGGCGAGGAGGTGCCACAAGGGTTCACCTGCATTGAGACCACACCAACTGGTCATTCAGCTGATCTTAATAATGGTGGACTCATGGCCCCTCAGATCTTTCTCTGCTACAGACGAGGGTGTGACAAGCCACCACTCACAGACCTGGGGTGAGTGCGCAATACAATGATATGAATTCTATTATACAATAATGATATAAATCAATGACTCAATGTCTATATGTCTATATAAGTCATTAAAAAAGGGGGATTTTGAGTGCTTTGGGATTCAAATGTTCAAACCAATACTCTTTTTAATCTCCATATTTCCTGTGAAAACTCAGCATTATCCACACAAAGGACCTTTTTGCACGGCTATTATAACACTTGAAAAGGCAAGTTCCCTGGACAATAAGATATTGGATTTCTGATGAAGGACTAGGCAACAGCACTAGAAAGCCAACATCACAGTTAGAGATTGATTGTACTTTCTAAACTCTTTAACTGCAGAGAGCTACGACTAATATTGGCATTTGCAAATGTGGCTGTTGATTTGATCTTATTTGTATGTCCTTGCTTTTTTTAAGTGATAAATGATCTCTCCTCAGTTTTGGCAGATGAGTGTAAACATGTACTTAAGAGACAGTGGAACTTATATTAAAAGGGAAACTAATACTCTTCAAAGATTCACTTGTTAGTGACTAGTACTACTTGTAGTCACTACTAGTTCTAGTTGACTAATTATTCTTTCTACAAACAAAGCTGCGATGATAAATAGTGATTTTTTTTAACCTTTACTGTCATTATG